ATTACCTGTTATGCTCACTCAGTTTATGTTTATTCCTTTGATTATCATCACATCCGTTCTAGACACTGGATGACTGGGACAAGCGCGTAGTTGTCAGGCGACGAGAGCTGACAACTCCCGAAGAAGCCCGAATACCATGGCATCAGCCGCCATTGGAGATGTACAGACGTGTTGCTGAGGCGATTCATGGGTTGGATATGATTAAGGTGAGATAGTACCTTCACTGTGGGTAACTCCTACAAACTATTACATCGAAACTGGGAGAAGATGATTGGTCACGAGTGGGCAGGCCAATCAGGAATTAACAGAACGGTCCACTTCAGTATGGTTCCCACAAACTGAACTACATGTCACAGTGTTTAGTTAAAATCTTTGTTCGAAGTGGCTCTTTTTGCAACTATTGCACGAAGAGCCCTTCATAAACATTTCTGGACACACTATACTATAGTACATCTCCATTACGCGCTCCGCCCCCAGATAACTCCGCCCATTTTGTCGCGACACATTCTACATGCATGTTAGACACGTTTTACACTGTATATAGATGTTATAATAGTTTTTCACAGTTATATAGTATGACAGATAGACCCCTGACAACACTATATTTATATAGTACACTTGACTCCGCCCCCGACGACTCCGCCCACTTATTAATGGATTTAGTGAAAATTTCGCCACTTTATAACTTTATACCGCAACATGCTATTTTAGTGAGACTTTGACAGCTACGATCTACACATTGAAGGCGATTTTTTGAATATCCAACTTATACTCCGGCTCCTTGGCCACGACCCTTTTTGGGCATTTTAATGTTTTTTTGTCGAACAAAAATGTTTAAAAAGTCGAAAAATCTAGAAAAAGCGATTCTTGTGACTCATTATACTTTGTCACTTGAAGACCTAATAGTCACAAACAAGCTCCGCCCTCAAGGTCAAACTCCGCCCACTTTTACAGAAATTATGATTTTTCAAAAAATTTCACAATTTTCCACTCTTTCCCTTACCTAGCCCCGCCCACTAAGGCAAGCTCCGCCCCTTGTGGAGAACTCCGCCCTTCGTGGAAAACTCCGCCCACTCCGGAATTCTGAATTTCGTGAGATTTACGCCAAATTCCCATCGATATCAAATATTCATTTTTATACCCTTTTGTGGGAAACTCCGCCCACCCTCTAAAAAGTGGACTGGACGTAAAAATCCAGCCACTATATTAGCATTCTAGGGATTTGCTCGTTTTAGTAATAAACCAGACAAATCGCTCCACCAACTAAGAACGGCCATGCACCACCAACCACCAAATCGAGAAAGAGCTTTCAATCTGTCAATCCTTACGGTGTCCGGGCCGGGTGTTTGATACATTGTACCTACATTATCACAGAAACGCTGAGTAATGGGCGAAAGAGTAGGCCTCAGGCCGGGCTTACTCGCCCCCACACGCTTCGCTTACTGAGCGTGAGCCTAATGTGCTGATTGAAGTTCCGCTTGAGGTCCAGTCTTCCTACCCATAACTCAGCCTCCCTGTCACAGCACTAACTGTTAAACAGCAATTGTTGTACTGAAACAAGTTGTTATCTCAATTGTTTCAACGGCAGGTGTATTGCCTAGCGTGAATAGAACTTTTCGCATTCGTGAGACTTCAGAGGCCTTCAGCGGTGAAACCGCCATGAAAGTATGTGCTCTTCGGCTTGATATGGCATTTCGCTGGTTGCCATCGATCATTGTCAACGCCTGCTGTAGAGTTCTGTGAACTATTGTAAAACCATGCAGTAGCACGAGATCTGTTCTCGCTTTATAGTGGTCTACAGGTCTCCAGAAAGGTGATACGCGTAAGTTAAAGGTCCTAGTAGAAGGAACTTGGGAGTTTGAAAATGCTCCCTCCCCCTTAATCAGAGACGCCATCAAAGTTTTCAACACGGGACACCATGTTCGTATGGGCGGAGACAGTCAACGGCGATGCCTTCCTCATGCGCCTCTCTTTCTAAGAGGGTGGGATAGAAAACTCTAATGAGGTATCAGCGTAGACATAGACTGTAGCTTCAAATAAGTTGTTACGATGAACTATAAATGTAACTACGAGTCTTAGATTGACAACATGATGGTATTGATAGCTTGGTGCTCTTTGACCCTGTACCACAATAGAACGAAAATGCTGAAATTTTTAGGAAGGTGACAAAGTGCTTGTCTGTCTTTCTGGAGGCAAGGATTCACTCTCTTTGCTTCACATTCTACATTTTTATCAGATGCGATGTCGAAAGAATAAAAGGTATGCAAGCTGCAAAGTTTACATGCCTTATTGATTAACTCTCCTGGTTGAGGGAGGGAGTATCTGACCTTCAAGCTAGCTAGCTATTAGATTTTAAGCTTGAAATATGCAAGGGGAAGGAGATGATTGAGATTGAAATCGGTTGATTTCGAGTCGCTAATCCGACCGCAGTTGACCACCAGGGCATCAGACTAAAGGTACTTACGCAGAATTTTTTTTCAGCACAAACTTCGAACTTGGTGCTATCACAGTGGACCCCGGCTCGACAGCGTATAATCCGCGACCACTGATCGAGTACTGCAGATCGCTGAATATTGACTATTTCTACGAAGAGCAGGGTGAGTTTCCGTATCGCATTTTGGATAAAAACTAAAAGCTTTACTTTCAGTTCCTTCTCTTGTCACTGTTCGGCGCAGTTTGCCGACGGGGGGGCATTTTGCACTTTCGTTGCTTCACTAGTTCTGGTTTACAAGTCTCACTCTGGTGAAACCTGTGAACTCTTGTGAAGCTGGAGCAAGCTCGTCAAGCCATCATGGTAAAACCTGTCAACTCGAGAAGAGGCTGCGTACCACGTCAGGGACTCGTGAGAGTGGTGGGGAGGTCAGCCTGCCGGCCAGCGCGGCGGAGGAGGAGCGGGTCCCCGCGATGTTTTCGCTATGTGCGCGGGGTTTGCATAGTCCATTAGATTTCCAACAGTCTGCTTTATTACTTGCAGGTGTGAAAACTATATGAAAGGTGTAGGCCCGATGTTCAACTATTAGTATAAAACAAGTCCATTTACATAGAAATAATATTTGGAGAATACATCAGCAATCTACAAAAATTCACTTTAGGGAATCTTCTTTTGCACTCAATTGTAGAGTATTGTAAGGGCCTAAGATTTGCGAGACGGGAAAATTAGGTAGTATCAAAGAAATACAGCAATCCGTTGAATAAATACAGCTGCCATTCCTATTGAAAATTCTGGTTTGGCAAAATCCAAGAAGATTTGCGTGATGCCAGAACTATATGGAGAGTCCGGATCGTTTAACCGCACGACTTGTCGGTCTCGTCCAATCACGGCAGCAATCACCGCGCGCGCCGAGGCGAAACATGGCGACTGTGACCTCTCGTGGAGTCCTAACCTACACCCGGCTGTCTAGATGGGGCGACACGTCAAATGGGGGGAGTGACCATATAGTTTGGGATGACCTTATAATTACTTTTTCGCACCTCGGCATACTTGCCAGTGGGATACCCCCAGATTAATTGCTTGCACGCTGACTGGTGACCTCTCACTGCCAGGCTAACACAAGATAGAATAACGAGAAATAAGTGTATAGATGTATACAAATATAAATTTCCAAAGGGGTAAGTGTATAATATGTATATAATAGCGAATGGAGACAAATGAAAATATTAAGAAATAATAATAAGAATAATAAATAGGGAACACAGTAAATCATGGAAACTGATGTAATGCGTGAAAAAAAACGGTATCCAGTATCGGTATTAAAAGCACGCAAACTCGCCTACGAGCGAATTACCACAAAGGATGGCCTCTGGCAGTTCGGCGCCTTTTTACCTAGCACCTACTCACTCTATGAAGGTCACTTTATTGAGTACTTAAGCAAGTGATCCGCGGTAGGAGCTACACCTATTGTTGCGTTTGTCTTCTGCACTCATGTGATGTTTTCGACTCCCAGTGGAACGCTTCATATCAGGACTTCTCCGGCCACTTACTCTCACAATACGTCCTGACTAACAGCACTGCACAATCAGGAACCCCCACGCTCTACGTAGATACCATACCGAACACCGTCACTATGCCGACTGCAGCACTTTCATATCTATTACTCCGTGGCAGCGTTCCAGGTAAAAATTCCAATTTGAAAGACTCCCGAAATGATGTTTGATGCATATTCATTCAAGAAAGCATGTGACCTGGGTCTGCACGCCATTGTTGCGGACGGCATGCATTCCCTGCATCCCAAGTCGCTGGGTTGGGGATACCAGGCCATCAGGGGCTATTTGTTTGCGCACGCGGTTGCTCAGGAGTGGGGTTCAGCTACCTCTTCTGCACTGCATCACCTGGTATCAGCGCTGGTTGCCTCCCGTTGATCAATCGAGTTCTCGAGGCGGGCGCCTGAGATATAGCGTCTCCAGTTCTCCCTGCAGACGTGCACAGAGTGCCCCAGATGAACTCTCGGGGCAGCTCGGGACACGATGGTACTTCATACCGTTCGTTCTCCAGAGCTTTCACGAAGAAGTCTGACCATCGCATAGGCGGTCGTCCAGGCGTTCGCTTGACATCCCGTGGAATCCAGTCGGTGACTGCTCTGGTCCAGCGGTCGTCCTCGAAACGCATGACGTGTCCGGCCCACCTGATCTTCGAAACCTTGGCAAATGCGGCGGCGTCTCTGATCTTTGATCGTTGGCGGAGTGCGGAGCTCCGGATTCCTTCTCTCACTTGCATGTAGCGGGGAAACTCAGAGCATCGCCC